TATATAAACAATCGAATATTTACAACCAACTAATCTACTAGCAGAGTAGAGGGCGGCCCACTACATCGGGAAACGTCAACAACTAGCAAACCAGTCATTGTCTGATAAAGATATGTTGGTAACAGATCGAAACGTCACAACAGTATGTACATTTAACGGTTTACTTACAAGAATTTGTTCATGTTCAAACATCACAGAAACCAGATGAAACTATTTTAGATTGCATTTTAAATAACATTTAAAATAGGGAGAGTATAAGTAATTACATTGAAAGATATTAGTATGCGTAAAAGCTACAAAACTTGGATTACCTTTTTTAGTTCAGTTATAAGAGTGTGTTGTACAATTTGTTGTCAAGATATGCTAATATAATATTTATGTGTGCCGACAATATCTATTATCAACATAACTCTACCTGGCTCAAATCTAACAAGCTAACACTCAATGTTAACAAAACTAAATCTATGCTAATAGGTTCTTCTAATAAGCTAAAAGTTAATCATTCAATCAACCTTCTTTTAGATGACACTCCTATCCAATCTGTAACCTCTCACAAACACCTTGGTGTGACCATCGACAACACCCTAACCTGGAAATCTCATATTTCCTCACTTTGTAAAAAACTCAACTCCATCACCTACCTACTTGCACGCACCTCTAAATTCACTAATAATTCTTCTCTCCACCTCATGTACAATTCGTTGTTTCTATCTAGACTTGACTACTGCTGCTCTGTCTGGGGTTCCAAACCCACTACTACCGTTAAACTTCAAAAAATTCAAAATAAAGCTATTCGCATCCTACTTAATCTTCCTCCTACTACTCATTTAACTTCTTTCCACTTCTCTTGTGCTAAGACCCTTCCTTTCCATGACAGATATCGATATCAACTTGGCTGTTTAACTTTTAAAGCTCTACACAATCGTGCTCCCCAAACAATTTGTCAGTGTCTCACAAAAATAACTGCAAATGGCCGCATGAACACTCGGCAGATCACTAAAGTGACTTACATATCCCCAGACCCCACTTTGAACTTTTCAAACTTTCATTTAGCTTTAATGCCCCCCTCTTTCTTTAACTCTCTTCCCTTAGATATCCGCAATGCTTCTACTTACTCCTCCTTTAAATCGTCCCTCAAAAGTTACCTCCTTCTTTCTCTCCTGTAATTCTGTTTCTTTGGCCTTTTGCACTGAGAATTCATTTTTTGATTTCTACCATATTATTTATTTTCTGTTTTATTTATTAATTTAAATTGATTTATTTTCTTTAAATTAAGAGTGATTTGATTTATAGTTCTCATATACATTGGTCTATTATCTATTTTTAATTTATTTGATTATTTTATTTAGGCTACTTTATTCCCTTTGTTGTTTTGATGTCCCTTTGCCTATTGTTTTTTAATATTGCTCTTTCATTTTCATCTTTAATTGTAATTTTATTTTAATTTTTATATTAAGTTTTTTATTTAATTTTGAATTAATTCTTTATGTAAATTTTGTATTGAGAGGTTATTTATTTTACTGTAATTTAATTAGTTTAATACGCTCTTTTGTTTTGTCTTACTATGTGTATTGAGGGTCCCTAATGATCAGCTTCGCCTGGATGGACCACCCTCATTAAAAATTGTTGAAATAAATAAATAAATTACTTAACCCTGATATAGTGGTAATTATGTATCGGCATGGTGTTTTAGTAAAATGATCTATCTTAAATTTTCTTTCTCTTTGAGTTGGAATTATCATGTGTTCAGTTAACATAGAAGGCAAAGGAGGGCAAGCACAAGTTTTAACCCTAAAAAAATGCGCGCAAAGCGGGCACAAAATATTTGAGTTTTTAATGCTAATTTCGTCCGCATTTTTTAAAAAATCCTGTCAAAACACCCTAAAATGTGCAATTTTGAGTCGAAATTGGCCTACTTTAACAAGAAATGCGCTCGAATTTGGACATCTTTAGGCAATTTCAGGGGTGAAAAGGCATCTTCGGGGGGTGGGGTGGGTGGAAAATTTTCCACAGGGTGATTTTACCCTTTCCTCCTGGTGGATACGCCACTGCGGAGAATAGATAGCTTTGATCAAAGGCGCTACCATACCACAATGCGATATACGTCTTCCCGCAGCCTGTGTATCTCATTTACATCAGACATGTATCACTCACAACTTTCGCTCTCTGTGGACATTTTTTGAAGTGAAGAAGGGGTGCTGGGTGTTGTGATATCTGGTCACATGATATCTTCCGTTTTATTCTTGTCTTTATTTTTCTCTTCTCTTCTCATCCTTTTTCCGTTTCTTTTCTTTTTCCCTTCTTTCTCTTTACCCCTCTCTCCCCTCTTTCTTTCTTTCCTCTTACCCAGGCCTGTACGACGGCTTGGTCAGCCCAATAAAAACCGTCAGGGAGGTGGGGAGCAGTCTGCTCTAGCCCCGCATGTTACGCCACTATCTTTATGTTCCATTATAAATAAATCATTATATAAAGCCTAAAGGTACGGTATGGTTTCAAACGATTGGAACGTCTCAATGACTACTCCCATCTACAAAGATAAAGGCAACAAAGAAAATCCTAACAATTGTAGACCAATATCAGTGGTATGCTACATAAGCCAACATTGTGGAAAGCAAGTCCAACATAAAAGTATTCCATATCTCAATGAGAATGACCAATATGTTGACCAATATGCCAGAACGGGGCCGCGACGTTAACGCTCCTTTCAAAGGGCGAATTCAGAGATATCCGAAAGAAGGAGAGTGCCGAAAAATGGGCAAAAAGTTAGGTCGATCTAGACAACACTACCATAGGAGTCTGGGAAATGTTTGTTTTCTAGACGCCCAAAATAACCAAATAACCTCTGAGGCGTTTTGGGCTATAAATTATTATTATTATTTTTTTTTTAAATTATGCACGCGCGCAACAAGAACAGTCTCCTAGAATATGCTGATTTCATACTTCATAAAACGCGTAAGTCTCGGCGAGTTTTAAAATTATAAACACCACACTAGTAGCAGTTGTATATGACCTTGATCTTGTAGTATTATGCACACATGCGCAACAAAAATGAAAATCTCACAACAGACGTGGATTTCGGACTAAAAAACAACTCAGAACGTTACTGAGTTAGAAATTATCTGTATAATACTTGTATGTGACCTTGACCATGTAGTAGGCCTATCATGTACGCGCGCAGAGGAAAATATCACATCATACGCTGATTCAGATTACATAGGCCTACAACGCAGTAAGCCACCAAGTTTTAAATTAATCCTAATTTCCATCCCACGTGCACAACAAAAGCAAACATCACAACATACATTTATTTGGAACTAAATACAACGCAGTCAACCCAAGGACTTTCAACTGTTCACAATTAAAAGTCCTTGGTCAGCCACCGAATTTAAAAATTATAATTCAGAATTATAATTTTTAATTAATATTATTAAATAATGTTATTATATAAAAAATAAATAATAGTTTCCGTCATGGCATTTTCTGAAAAGCCATGACACACGGCGAAGTCCTGGCGAATTTTTTCATTTTTTTCGGAATTTACACGATCTTATTGCTTTGTACATGACCTTGTAACTTATGTATGTATGGCCATGTATTTTGTTGACTTTCATTTTTATCTACCATTTCTGAAGCATAATTATGGGTTAAACCCTTAATATAATATTTATCTATTTGGCAGGGCACCTTGACGAATGCATTGTGTAATAAAGATGATCATTGGAAAGCAGAAATCTTATGGTCCATGAAGACGGTAGTAGACAAATACTCGTATAAGAGTTGTGAAAATGTCAGTTATTAAAGATTTTTATATAATTTTTTTTTTTTTGTTTTTTTTTTTTTTTTTGTTTCACTAAATAGAACACTCATTTAAAGAATAAAAAATGTTCCCTGTCATTATTTTTGTGTGAAATGGTTTTGGAAATTCAACATTTTGGCTCTGGAAAGCTCTTGGAAAAGTTTTGGAATTTTCCCAAGTTCAAAGTGTATGAACCCTGAATTCTATAATTAATAGTAAAATTTGTATATATGAACTTGACATTGTAGTATCATGCACACGCGCAACAAAAGAAGATCTCACAACATATGTTTATTTGGGA